ATTGGTGAATGTTGGGTGTGTTTCGGAAAATAAAGAAAATTAATTAAAATAAATTAATTAAATAAAATGACTAGAGAAAAACAAGAAAGGAGATGAAGCGGAATTAGTCAAAGCTCGTGCTACGCACGATGTCCTTAAAACGTATTTGTTGTCTCCCACAGTGCTAGGAGCGTTGCAACAATCGTTTCCCAGGATACGACGACTACGAACTAATGTTTGAGCACACAAACAAGAGTTCCAGCGAACGAGAACCAAGTATGAACACAGAAGGAATTTGCAGAGTAGTTGTATGTGTTTTTAGCTCAAGAAATTCGTGAGGAATGTATTGTGCGTTGTGTGTTGTTGCAAACCACCTGCCAGCCTTTTATAGGAGGATTTGTTGTGTGTTAAATGGTGTGTTAATGGACCTGAACGTTGGATATCAATGACCTGTCCGTTGGGCATGGAATCGTCCATAAACTATCCATTTAACGCAGCATTAAAAGAGAAGAACGTTGGGCATTTATTGTTGTAACGGACCAGAAGACCTTCTGTTGCGAACAGAAGACCTCGAGCGTCTCTGTTGCGAACAGAAGGCCTCGAGGGTCTTTGTTGCGAACAGAAGACCTCGAGGGTCTCTGTTGCGAACAGAAGACCTCGAGCGTCTCTATTGCGAACAGAAGACCTCGAGCGTCCCTATTGCGAACAGAAGGCCTCGAGCGTCTTTGTTCCAGGTCTTTGAATGATAGGTTTTCGAACGACATTCGTGTCCGCAGGTCGCCCGCGCACACGAGTCGCGGTTTTTCTTCTCCGTTTCGGGATTTGATCGGCACCCCCCCTGCGCGTAAGAGAGAGCCTTTACCCATAGGAATCTTAACTCCTTAAAAGAGATTTCCCTTTATAAGGGGGTGAAAATCCCTTGAGTTTTTCGGTGTGGGATAAAACACACTAGAAACCCATCATTTTCCCAGTTTTTCCATTTCAACGAGTGAACTTCGAGAATCAATTTTTCATTCACCCGTTATCCGTTTTGAGTGTACCATATATCGAATTGTAGCCATTAACAAGGACAATCCGAAATCACTTTGACCCGACCCAAATCGGAAGTGGACCACACTCAATTAATTGCCCCAAAAAGACAATTTAATGCACTTTTTAACACATTTTTCCAACAGTGAAAACTGCTAGTTAAAATATGATATTGTGATGTTGTCGATAGCTTATCAAACTCTATGTGAGATTGTGAGAATGTAAAACATGAAACAAAAGCGCTGCTCTCTAAGTCTTCTTGTTTACTTCCTCTAACGCCAAATTCAAAAAGACAGGGAAAGAACATGCACTAAGTCAAAAGTCAAAATTTTTCGTGTTATCTATATCCAACGTGCACTAAGTCAGGCCAACAAATTAATGTTTCATTCACGTTGAGAAGAAACAACGTTACAATGTTACATAGTAGTAAAAACAAGGGAGAATTTGACTTTGCATCCCATTTTTTGGGTGATATTGGACTTTGCACCTCATTTTAAAAATCCTTTGACTTTGCACCCTATCATATAACATTTGTCAAGGAAAATTTCAAAATGGGGTGCAAAGTCAAAGGATTTTGAAGTGAAATGAGGTGCAAAATCAAAGTTTTTTTTAAAATGGAGTGCAAAGTCAGATGTAATGAAAAACTAATCCAAGCTAGGTCGAATGATGTTTATTGGTTTTTATTGGAGCGTAGTTTAAGGCTTATTGTTTTCAATTAGTTTTGTGTTTGAGGAACACGTTCACAGAATAGGTAACGCCAGGGGCGGAGCCGAGGGGGATCAAGGTGGTCAGCCGACCCCACTGAAAGTTCAAGAATGTAGAGTTCTGAAATACCTTCGATTTGATATATTATGGGTCCCGTAACTTGCGAGTAAAAAGTTATGACTTCTGGAAAAATCAGCATCATCTTAACTTGAAATAAGCAAAATTTGATGTGTGACGTTGATTATATTCTTAAATTTAAAAATAAAACAACTTATTTAGTCATTAGTTGTGTGAACATTGCGATATATTACCTATATATCAACACATTAACCGAAAAATTCTCATTAAACTACCATTTATCTCAGCTACATATGAAACATTTAACTCAAGTATTGTATAATAATTATCCATCATTTTGATATTGTATATAATTAAATTTCGACCCCGCTCACACATTTTTCTGGCTCCGCCCCTGGGTAACGTCACCGTAATGGTGGCTAAAAATTTCAAGCCACATAAGCTATCCAGTGTCCACTATTACTAGAAATTAGGGATGCCATCAATACTAATCCGACTCATCAAGATCAAATTTGATAACTAACTACATCAATCTAGCATTTCTAGCATTAGATTGTGGTGTGAATTCACTTTTCTAGACACATTTCCTTAATTTGATCACATAAAGAAGTATCATGAACTTTTCTAGACACATTTCACTTTTCTACAGAACAGGTTTTTATGGCCAACCTTAATTTGAACTTTTCTGGTTGATTTTGGATTTCCATATGGCCTTTACTTTGATAAATCTCCACTTTCCATTTAGCATTAATTGACAATAGGGAAACTTCCTCAAATTGGAGTAAAAAAACATGCAAAATTCAAATTTGATCAATTTAGGGCAATTTTGCGTGACAATTAGATCATGAATTTGAATCCTGAAATCAGTCCAAGTAAATGAGAGGTAACATTCATCTATTTATGAACGTAAAAGTCCAACTTTCCGTTCATCTATTTATGTTTTTTTTACCTAATTCTTCAAGGAAGATGAAGTTCACAAACAACACCATACAAAGACCAAGGGACATGCCAAATTTAAAAAATTCATATAGAGAATTTTGTTATCATCCCAACAACCAAAACACAAACAAACAAACAAACAAACACACGCACACAAAACAACGGAACAGACGATAAAGCAGGACTTTTACCCTTGAGTCCAGCTTCATCACAGATTAATTCAGTCTCTAAGCAACAAATGTGATACTTAACCCAAAGGACTTGTGCTGTTGTGCAACAAATATAATACAATTGATAAATTGGACATTTCTGAAGCATTTACGAGTGAGGAACTGTATTGCTTGAATTAAGTAGATCCTTTTCATAGTAAACAGGCAAATAAGCTCTCAGCATACCTTTATAAATGAACAAGAACAGTTGGGTCACGACGCCCGGTCAATTATTTGCATCATCTTGATTTCACTTTATTTCGCTATCAAGTACACTTGTCGTTAGGCTGTACGAGAAACTTTAACACTGAAGCACAACAATTGTGAGGGGGAAGATAGATGGAAAAACAGTAAACCTAGACTGACTGCGGCTACATAAAATTTATAAAATCTTAACATATAGAGCAAATGCATAGTTCATATAAAACTTTTATGTGTGCCCTTAAATTTTTTAAAAAATAAGGTTTGAATGTTCAGTAGCTACTAATCCAATATGCATATCAGTTTATTTAATTTGATATGGGTCTTTGGGATTGATTCCATTCTTGTTTCTACAGTAACAACACACTTATGAATGATTTGATTTAGGTCTTAAACATTTCTTCAATTCTTTGCTAGTACAAAGTAGATATGCAATTATGCATATCCTATATCCTCATGTTTGTTTGATATAAAGGAATGCAACGACGGAAATGTGGAGACTGTCATCACTCATCATTTTCTTAATGCACACCCCTTGGGCTTAATCACCATAAAAACAATTTATTTCAAAATGGGGAAGTGCTGTTTAATTACAGGTAGACCTTAGCAATCCTAATTCGTAACTCCTTCAATAACTATGTCTCACCCACCCTAACTAACCACATGAGGTAATGAAAACTGAGTTGTGAATTCGTGATCCCTTCAAGTCACCAAGTCTTGAGAAAAGGTAGCTACTTAACATTACAAAAATCTATCTTTCTCGGCCATACAAGATTCACAAAACCCCCTACTTATGGAGGCAGTACCATCTGCAACACATTCTAATCGGCACATGAAAGTCATGATAAGATGATTTTAAGCATGAAAAGATAAGTCTTGCACACTAGCTACTCTGAATCATTTCTTTTGTTAGAATTCCAAGAATAACCCATCAATGGCCCACAATGTAAGAGCCCCTCAGGTTCCAAAAAGCAGATACAGTAAATAAGATTTTCCTCTATCATTAACGGAACTTAATTGATAAATGACTTCAATGATGGAGCTTAATTGATGAAACAATTTCAAAATGGAACTTATGATGCATAAACCGATTTAGGCTCGGTTTCTAGTATTGTTTCCCTTTTAAATCCTAAATTCAACTCTTTGTTGGTTTTATTTAATCATAATAAAATTTGAAACTACTTAAAATTTAATGTGTCGTCTTCTTACAGAAAAATATGTTCCTGGAAAATGTTATTTACTTCTTAGATATTCATGTGTTTGGAAATATTTTCTAGAAACTTATTTCCCTAAGTTTGGCACCATTACATCACTCCTTGATTCTTTGATATTTTCTGGGAAATGTGTTCACATAGTGAAATAAGAAACACTTTCCTCGAATGAAAAATGCTTGGTGAACACCATTTTGTGTGCATCAAGCATTTTTGTTCCTCAAATAGCTTCATGTTTTCTAATTGTGTAGGTCAAACATTTTTGTCAAATGATTTCCACACAGGAAACATTTTACATCAAAATCATTTGACAGAAAACATTTTTATGAAAATATTTCTAAAACAAGATATTTCGCTGGAAAAACAGAGTTTTTCTTAATCTTCTATAATAAATAAATTACAAAAAGCAATAAAGACATGAAACAATATACCATAGATCATCAACATGCAAATTTTTAGATCTTACAATGCAAAAGTGCAAAACCTAGGTTAAGAAATCCTACATCTGAAATAAATGAAATAAAGGACTTCATTCAATCTATAGCTCAGAGTGAGGTAAAGCATTACGCACGATGAATTATCTCATTGCAAGTCAATAAACTTGATCTTCTAATTTGATAGTTAGAAATTATCTCCAAAATTTAAGTTGTGGCTCAAAATTTTAACGAGTACGATGACCGAGTAATATTTCAAGTTCTTGCTCAAGATTTGACACTAATACCAAAAAACAGTAACAATACTTTAATTCAGAAAATGACAGATCAACCAATGGCAAATAATAAACAAAACTAGAACTTTGTATTTAAGGAAGAACGGTTTACAGGAAATTTCAACAGGAGCATCTACTTCTCAGTTCTCAGTAAGGGCCTCATTGTCCTCAAAGTAGAGCTCTTGGATCTTTTGACAATATTCATAGATATTCATGTGTAGAAACATATTTTCATAAGTTTGGCACCACTCCTTCACTCCTAGCTTCTTGATATTTTGTGGAAAATGTTTTCACCTAGTGAGAATTGGAAAACATTTTCTTCAACATTTCTTCAAACATTTTTCACTTGCATAGGTAAATATACATTATAAATAGAACATCTTTTTCTAGGATAATGACTTCCGGGGCGAAAATGCACTAAAACATTTAAATGAAAATCACTTCACATAGAACATATATTTCTGAAAATATTATCTAGAACAAGATAATTCTCCAGGAAAAATGGAGCTTAGTTCTTAATCTTCTTTTATAATCAATAAAGAAAACCCAAAACTACATGAAATGGTATACCATAGATTATTTACATGCAATTTTTTTGTATCTTAAAATGCAAAAGTGCAAAATCTGGGTTAAGAATTCCTACTTCTGAAAAGATGAAGTAGAGACTGACTTCACTCAACCTAGCTCAGAATGAAGTAGAACATAATCTTCTAATTGCAAGTCAGCAAACATAATCTTCTAATTTAGTAGTTAGAAATTAGCTCCAAAATTTAAGTTCTAGCTCAAGATTTTAATTAAAACCAAGGCTGAGTAGTATTTTAAGTTCTTGCCCAAGTTTTGTACTTAGTACCAAGAACAGTCAGAAATGTTTATATCAGAAACATTAAAGATCAATCAATGGAAAAATAATAAATAAAACTTGAACCTTTTATATAAAGAAGGATGGTTTTACAGGAAATTTCAACAGGAGCCTCTACATCTACCCAAACTGCGGCTACAGAACCTCTAATCCATAAAGAACTCCAGCATACCTCTCAGTAAGCGCCTCATTGTCCTCAAAGTAGACTTCTCTGATCTTTTGAAAAGCATGCCAGGTCAGTAAACTGTCAGAGCCAGCCTGATGACTCTTCCCAACCACCCTGCTAACCTCGAGCGAGCTGGCCAACCGGTCCAACCCACCATGAAGGCTCTTACAGAACTTCATCAAGTGCTTCACATCATATACCCTGTTACCAAAGTAGAGCCCCAGCAACCCCAGAAATTCCCCAAGTTCCTCTGGCAGAGCTCTACCTGTTAGAGCCTTGATCAGGTATCCAAAGTCATAACCGCTGTGGAAGGTGATGTACGTGATAGCTTCATTGCAAACCAGTCCGGAAGACATCATCAGCTCAGCAAAACGGGTGGAATCGGCACCGTGGGCCCGAGTCTTATCGAAATCAATGCCGTGCTGGCGGAGTAGCTCGATGGATCCCGGAGAGTGACCATCTCGCCCCACATCGAAGTCACGGAAATTGAACTCCCAAATGAAGCGGTTGGGGGTACCCAGGTCCGGGAGGTTCCCGGCAGCATCAGTGAGAGTGATCCCCACCTGGATAAGCTTGAGAGCGTCAACGTTCCACTTCAGATAGACGTAATGCTCATCAGGCTTCCAGTACCGGATGTCATGGCGGAAAACCACGCCTGGAAACTCGGTATCCATCGAGACAAATGGGTAACGATCGAGGACGCGGCGGATCAAGGCGAATTCCGCCTCGAGGTTGTGGGACCAGACTGAGCGGATCCGAATCGGCTTCTTGGAAACTACAACCGCATCAGCCGGCGATGCGGTCAGAGGAGGTGGGGGTGGCGCAGATTCAACGGCCATGGGGAGGAAATGTGTGTCACTCCAGATCAGTGATGGGCCGGTTAAAATTAGGGCTGCTAACCAGAGCACTCATATGTACGGTATAGTTTTATATACGCACCTGTAAACGAACCGTATATATACGGAACTGATGAAGATGGTGAAAATGTACGGATTACGCGGTTTTATTATCTTTAAGAAATAAATTTGTAGGAAATACTCCGTATTATCCCATTCGGGATTTAAGGTTGACGCGCTGTTTCTCTACCTTCTTTCATTTTCATTTTCACTTCGTGATGGATTGCGCCAGGCCACTCTCCTTCCGAATTTCAAATTTTTTTAATTCATTTTGTAGCTAATTTTTATTTTATTTTATATGTAATGTTTCCATAAAAAATTATACTTTAATTAGTTAGTTTGTCCCTTTAACTTTTAGTTTTTAAAACTAATTTTTAGTTAGATACTCCGTATAATTTTAATAAAATCTCTAAAAAAGTAAAAATCTAAGAACCCGTTTGATAATATCAAAATCGGCTAAATTGGCTAATTCTGCTAAAATTTATGAAATTCCAACTGAAGTGCCTGATCCTGCTGAATTATGAAAAAAATTATATTTCAAATATATTTTATTAATAAAGTAAAGAAAAAATTATACAGAGTATGAAATATGTAAAATTAGATTTTTTTAAGTTTTTATAAAAACTACCGCCGCCAAAAATTTACATGAAATATGTAAAATTAGATAAAATGACCTTTTTCGGTAACTTCATAAAGTAACTTCAACCTTACTTTTTCTTATTATTACACAATTTCGCGCACGAAATAAAATGTTACGTGTTTAGTAAAAAAAATGATTGATAGGTCTGATCAGTCGAAAAACAAAATCACCAATAGAGTTTATGATGAATTATTTTAGTTGAGTTTAATTCATTTTCCACAAGGGCATCAACAATGTTTTAATATTTTTAATTTGACAAATAAGTAATATCACAAGCCATAAATGTAAGACTTAGGGTACTCATTCTATAAAAAAATAGAAATTAGTTCAAATAGGACTAAAACTATGGCAAAAACCTAAAATAGGACTTGCTATGTTTTTATTCCAAAATAGGACCATATGAGTCCTATTGGAAACATACCTATTTTTGCATTCCATTCTTACTCTTCCATTAAATATGAATTAAAAATAGTCAAAAGTCATAATTAAAGTTTAATTCATAATAAATTCGAAAAAAATTCAAAAATTCGTAGAAATATAATTAAAAAATTTATAAAATTTTTATAAAATAAAAAATTCAAAAACTTTTTTTTAAAATTTTTTTTAAAAAAAAATTAATAAAAAATAGTAAAACTCCGTAAAAACAATTTAAAAAAATATGGATGCCTTTCCCACCGCCTGTACTACCTCCCAGCACCAGCACCTCCGGCCGATGAAAAAAATGCCATTTTCCCAGAAAATGCCATTTTTTCTTAAAATGCAAAAAAAGTGACATATTTCTCTTTTCGAATGCCAACATTTTCATTTTTTTCTGCCATAAATATGGCATTCGTAATGAACTTGACATTTTTTCCCCTGGTGACTGGAGGTGGTGGTGCTGAGGCGGCAGAGGCGGCGGCGATTTTTTGTTTTTGAGTTTTTATTTTTTTTTAATTTTTTTAATTTTTTTTAGTTTTTTGAAAAAAAAATTAATTAAATTTTTAATATCGAAATGTTTTTCTTAATTTTTTAGTATTTTTTACGAAATTTTATTATTTTTTATTATTTTATTAGGAATTAAAACATTTTAATAGCTATAAGGGTATAATTGTCCAAGGTACACATAATTAGTCCTATGCAAACATAATTCATTTTTTGGTCATATTTGTGAAAAGTGGATGACTTTTAGTCCTATTTTGATAATTAGTCTGTTTTATCTTTAATGGATAAGAATTAAGAAGTACTCGGTTTTGTAAAAAAACAAGTAAATAAATACATCTTAAAATATCTATTTTATCTTAAAATGTCTATTTTAAGATGTTTTTACTTGGACTATTTTCAGTTCCAGACCGGACCAGACTTAAACAAATCAGACCAAACCAGACATTCGTAGTTATAAATACACAGAGATCAGACATTTACCAAACCACACTAGATCAGATCATTTCAGACCAGAGCAAATTTAAACAGACCAGGCCAGTAAGTTTCCCTCCATGTAAAAAAACATCCTAACTCGGTTTTATTAAATGGAATTGTGTTAAAGAAAGAAATGGTAAATCTTGATTGTACTGAACTCAAATTCTGACCTATTATAATATGAAAAATATCTAGATGGTAAATCCAAAATAAAAAACGGTATAGTCATGTAGGAGATGATTCAATTTTAATTTAAAGTATTTTTTAGAACAAAAAGCTAAATTTCACCGTTTAGAGTCGTCTTAATATTTTGAAAATTAGACTTATAACTTTAGGTGTGCGTCGCTTCAAACACAAACAAATCAATCTATTTGCGGTTAAAAAAATTAGGGAAAAAGGGTCAAATAGACCCTTGAACTAACTTAAAAAGTGTAAAATCACCTCTTATATAGGAGGTTCTGTCCGGCCGTCACCATTTGGGGCGGTTCCTGATGGAATTTTTTGATGAAATTTTTTGAACATTTTCTTCATCAAGTCTAGTTTACTCATACCAAATTTCAAATAAAAATTCAACCTGGAAGACAGTCAAATGATTTTCTGAATTGTACTGCGCTATTTAACTGCACAGTTATCTTCAAAAATTCATTTGACTACCTTCCCAATTGAATTTTTAGCTTAAATTTGGTCTGAGTAAACTAAACTTAATGAAGAAGATGCTCAAAAAAATCTAATCAAAACATTGCACCGGGAACCGCCCCAAATGGCAAAGGACAGTCAGAGTCTCCTATATAAGGGGTGATTTGTATTTTTTAAGTTAGTTCGAGGGTCTATTTGACCCTTCTCCCAAAAAAATAATATGCCAGGCCTAGACAAACCCGACCAACCCGTTCCTCCATGGGATGGAGCCCCCATAAGAAATAAACTCTCAAATAGGTTTTTAGAGGGAAAATTTGTGCAAACCTTTTTTACACACTAGTACACATATCCGATAAATGCTATTCACAAACAAAAAAGGAAGATGTTCACTAACATGTGCACCGGTGTATATATGAAAGTGAGTGTAACAATAATTTACCTTATATTAAGAAATAAGAATCGGTCAATGACACCTATCCAATAACTTACTTCCTTCGTCTCTTTTTAGTTGCAACAATCAACATTTCACGTTTGCCACAGACAACTTTGATCGTCATTATATTTAATTATGTATTAGTAGAAATAAAATAAAAATCAGATTATAAAACTTAGTAATGAGACGAATTTAACAATATTTTTCAAAAAAACAATTCACATACATTAATAAATAAAATGTAGTCAAAGTAAAGTACATGAATAGTGTATACATTCCAATGTTGCAATTAATGCGATACAGAGATAGTATTTTTAAGAATTATGGCCAATAGGTGTCCCATCACCACCCTCTTACATATGTTTGTCCCAGTTCACGTGCTCCATGTGATTAGGGGTTGATTCAATTCATTTGGTTCAGTTTTGATCAAAAATCAAATATGATAGAAAGTTTGATTCGTTCCATTTTACATTTCAAAACTTGAAAACATGATTTGATTGCATTGACCTAGAAATAAATGGATTATTAGTTTACTATACCTAGAATCCTATATGCTTAACAGGGGAGTTTTCTTCAATACAATTTCCCTTCCATTTATACATCAAATTCATCATACGTTACAATGCAATTCTTTATTCTATTTTTTGACTATTCTTTATTCTATTTTTTTGACTGTTTCTCTATTCTATTAATAGAAATTACACTAAATAGAAATTACCCTAAATAGGAGTAAAAAGGCTTTGAAATTCAAAAATAGAAGTAACATGTTTTTTATTCCTTGAATATGAGTAATCTGACAACTTTGGGGGAAAATGTCTTGTTTAAAAGTCTAGTAATGTCAAACTTGGCAGAAATTTACTCCTATTTAGGGAATAAAAAAACATGATAGTCCTATTTTGGAATTTCAAAAACTTTTTACTCCTATTTAGGAAATTTACTCTACATAATATCATAATTATATTTTTTCATTATTCTCTTTTGTTTAATTTTCTTTCTTGATCTCATCTGTCAAACAAATCAGAAATACAGTTCAAGTTATCTACTTTAGTATTAATAAAGTAGAGTTATATCAATTGAAATTGATTTCCACTTAAATTATAATTGAGTTCAATCATTAGAATTGATAATTTTTAGAATATGCTCATAATTGTTTATAATTTAAGGGCGGCCCAACATCTAATCCGGTCCGACTACACACTAACCCATCAATATCACAGAACCGCTAAAACCCGATAGCCTGTTTCAACTTGGGTCGGACCTGGAAACCCGGAATATATTCACAATTAATACTAAAAGCCAAATCTAAAAAACTTGTTGGGTGTAGGAGTCAAACTCACGCCAACTAGCTAGAAGAAGAAGCAAGTAACTAACCAACCCACCAAGTACGCCGGTGGGAATAATTTGGCCATTAGTAGTAACAATTCGTTTAGTGAAATCATTTAAAACATTCTATTACTTCTAATTTAATGCAAGTGAAGACATAATAAATTTAAGGATATGTATTATTGGTATTACTTTACTTACGCATATATGCAACATTTGAGATATAAGTGAGAAAAATTATCACATCACAATTATTTTATAGAGATAAAATAATAGTAATGTTGAGGTTTATTCCCTCAACCCGCAGGTCCAACACGTAACCTGGGGGCTTCGAATGGGTGAAGGACAAATAAGATCAATAGGAAACAAGGAATAGGCCAACAACTGTAATTTAATCACTCAAACGATTACAAGCTGAAGGGCCGAACGTACTATGCTATGCTATGAGCTGTTATTGCTGCTATAATGCTAGAGAGTCAAAGTGCGAACCCTTTACAATGAAATAAATACGACTATTTATACCATCCATGGGTGGTTGGGGGTGCTGACGTGGTTGGCTGTGGGCGACATGATCCCAACCACCAAATCTCCCGCATTTAATGTGTTTCCCGCCAGGATCTCGGTTTCCCGCCATGGTGTGGGGACGTCCGTCCCTCAGGG